ATTTCAACATTTATAACCCTAGAGAGGTTTAGAGAGGAAGAAATAAGGGGAAAAATACAAGATCAAGAGGGATTTGCACATTGAAGAGGATCAAAACTTCTAGTTTTTCAAGAACGTCAAGGAAGAAGAAAGGTAGGGGTTTATTCTCATTCTTGTCCATTGAGGCTAGGGTTTATATTTATGTATCTTTTGCTTCAAAAACTTAGATATATGTTATGATATCCTTGTATCTTGATGTTCTTGCAAACCTTCTCATGTTTTAAGTGAGATTATGGGTTGAAAGCCACAAAAACCCTTGTTTTGACATCAAAACCTAGTTTTTCAAGAGAAATTAATTTTTTCCTTGATTTTTTCTTTGTTCTTGATTTAAAAACTCTAGTGCTTGATATTGAACAATAAAATGGTATTTTTAATGATCTATTACATATTTTCTTAAATTGTTCTATTGGAACAATACATGTAAAATTTGGGAATTTTGAATTTTGCTTTGTGATTTGAGGAAATGGGTTTGTATTATATCTCTTGTTGATGTTTGGATGACCATGGATGACCGTTGACCGAGTATCGTAAAGTGGGTAGATGCGTTTCTTACTCCGTACGGGTTTGAATTTTTTCTACCACTCATAATGGGGTTGGTACCTTACGAGGACCAAACCACTATTCGCTTACAGGTACTGAGGCTGAGGGTTAGTATACTATTCCTGAATTGGATTCGTCACTACCAATGCGTTGGTATACGCCCTTCCTAAAAGTTGGATAGCCTTGTGAGGATTGGGTGTGCGTGTATAAGCCATGATATTCTCGATGTGTTTATTTATGCAATGTCATACATCATACTTGAAATACAAATTGTATTTTGATATACATTGTGGGTTATTTTTGATTGTACAAATGGTTGGTTATGATTTATTGTGGAAAGGAGTTTATGGTAGAATCGGTTTGTTGTGAAATTGGTTATTGTGGAAATGGTAACTTGCTAGAAATTGTTATTATTGGGAATTGGTTTTACTTTTTTATTTAATTATTGTTATTGTGTAAACTTGAGATCCACTTAAATGTTCTTGTTTTCCTTCAAAAGCTATATATGATATTTGTAAAATGAGACCGACCATGTTATATGCTTTTCAAACCTTGTTCGAGTTTGAGAAGATTTTCCTATAGAGCTTAGTGCTCACCCCCTACAAACAATATCTTTTTCAGATTATGGTCTAGAGGAGGAGCTCAGAGTTGATGAGCCAACACATTGGGAAGCTCCAATAGATGGGAACATGGATCCCAAAATCGACGTTTAGAGCTATCATCTCTTATGTTCTAGATTAGGAATTCATTTTGAGACAATGTGAAGTCTTATATTTTTTTTATTTCGCTGCAAGATAATAGTTAATTTTTAGGATATAATTGTCATAGTTTGGCATATTCGTTTGGATGATTTTGTATATATTGTGGGTGATAAATGTAATTCTTTTTAGTTATGAAGTTTATTTAGTTGCTCTCATGATGTAAATGGTTTTTAAATAGTAATGTCATCCAAGAGGGATTTTGGGGTGTTACAGATAGTGAAAGATCTCTTTTGGGCACAACCAACATCAATCCAACTCACAATGGCTTTCCTTTTTGTTTTTATGATGGATTGCACGTATAAAACAACTAAGTACTGACTGTCACTATTAAAGATTGTGGGCGTGACTTCTATAGGAAAAACTTTTGTGGCTGCATGCATTTATATGGAATCAGAAAAATAAGAAAATTATTGTTCGGCGCTTGAGTGGTTTAAATCTATTTTTGGGGATATGTCGCTGCCTGGGGTACTTGTGACTGATCTTGACTTTGCTCTCATGAATGCAATTAAGGATGTCTTTACAAATGCAACCAATTTATTATGTCATGTTCATATAGAGAAAATGTCCTAATAATTGTATAAATTAATTTTCAAAGAAGAAGATGTGGAATAAATTCAACGTAGCATGGTTCGATGTCATGCGAGCATCGATAGAAGAGGAATACAAGAAAAATATGCAACAAATGGAGATTAAATTCGGTTATCCAATTGAATTGAATTATCTTCGAGAAACATGGCTTATAAATCATAAAAATTAGTTTTTTTTTCAACATGGATTGATCAATACTTCCATTTGGGAATCACTTCAACTAACCGAGCTGAGACTAGTCATGCCAAGTTGAAGAAGCACCTGAATTCATCAGTCCAAGGCTTTGTTAACTCCTTCAATGCCATTCATCTATTGATAGAAGTACAAATTATAGATATCAAATCATCATTTAAGGATAGTCTGACAAGGACTCCACATCGATTTAGAGCTCTGTTGTACAAAGAACTCATTGGCATTGTCTCCATAACTGCACTTGATTAGGTTGACTGATCATAGTGAAAACTTCCCTCCTTGAGCCAGTAACAAAAGTGAATCTAAGAGGTCGGAAGAAGAAAAAAAGGGTGAAGAAGAGCATTGTGATACCAGAAGAATTATCTAAGTGCAATCGATATGGATTTAGTATGTTGCATTATTTGAGGAAAGTCAAACAAAGCTAGTCATTAACCTGTCTTCACAACAATTTGTAAAAGGGCCTTTAGTGCACTCTGATTGGAAACCTGTAAAACCAAAGTTTACTTTGCATCGGACTAGAAATTCCAATACAATGAGGTATGTAACATAATTCCCAGACGCAATAACTCATTTTATTGCTATTGTCATTGATGTCCTAGGAGATGGACATTGTGGGTTTCGGCTAGTTGTTGGATTCTTGGAGATAGGGGATTATGGTTGGAAGCAAGTGTGGCAAAACTTGTTAAATGAGTTGAAGACATTTAACATTAACTACTTTCAAGTATTGGGTGGTGAAGTGCATGTGGCTAAATTAGAGGAATCCATTCATTGTTGGGATAATAATGTTGGCTTAGAACAGTGGATGACAATACCAAATATGGGGCACATAATTGCATCATGTTATAACATTGTTATACTCCACATATTACACCACCAATGTCTCACATTTCTTCGTGTTCGTCAGCAAACATCTTACAAACCAAGTCATCGAATTCTCAGATGTGGTTACATCAACTCAAGTTACTTTGTCAGACTTAAGTTCACTCTACGTTCTCCCTTACCTCCCGTGTCAACTATGTGGCACAAGTATCATTATGAACTGTCTAACGGGTGGATTACTCTATATTTGATGCGGATAGAAAGATTCAAGACTTTGTTAGGAAACAATTAAGAAACTGTAATTATAGATATTCCTGACGACGTAGCCTAAAAACAAAGTAAGTATTTTTTTTAAAATCATAATAATTTTATGTTTTCATAAATTTTGGGTCACTATTGATTTATATTTTTTGTTTTAAATTTTATACGGGGGTTTTCTTTACTTGATACAACTTATGGAATCGAAGCGATAGCGGAGAGCTTGATCAAGGTTCTAAAACTAAATTGGGTTGACCTATATCATTTGTATNTTACTTGATACAACTTATGGAATCGAAGCGATAGCGGAGAGCTTGATTAGGGTTCTAAAACTAAATTGGGTTGACCTATATCATTTGTATTTTTTAGCTTTTGAAATGGGCTTATGACCTTTTTGTTTTCTTCCATTTTGAATATTTTTTTTCTTTTCTCGTCATTGTGATGCACCATTGTATAATAATACACTTAATTTTGACATTTNATTTTTTAGCTTTTGAAATGGGCTTATGACCTTTTTGTTTTCTTCCATTTTGAATATGTTTTTTCTTCTTTTCTCGTCATTGTGATGCACCATTGTATAATAATACACTTAATTTTGACATTCGATATTAAAGTTCTATTTATAATATTAGTATTTTACTGGACATCAAATACATGGTTCAAAAGAACTAGGACAATTAGATAAATAAGCAAAAAAAAATCTAGGAAATAATAAGATATTTTAGATGAACTTTTAAACAAATAAAATTGTTGTTGATGGCCAGCTAGCTAACAACTCATTTATATATAAGCTGAGAAAGTAAGAAGATGATAATAATTTATAATTCTAGATTATTTTCTTTTTTGATTTGGGTGATGTTTACAAGTCGAAAGATATATTAAAATATTAATGGGGTGGACTTAATCATCAATGAGGTGAGTTTAGTCACAAATTTNAACAACTCATTTATATATAAGCTGAGAAAGTAAGAAGATGATAATAATTTATAATTCCAGATTATTTTCTTTTTTGATTTGGGTGTTGTTTACAAGTCGAAAGATATATTAAAATATTAATGGGGTGGACTTAATCATCAATGAGGTGAGTTTAGTCACAAATTAATGATTACATAATAGGGTGGATTTAGTTATTAAGGGGGTATATAAAATAAGTGAATTTACTTTTCTAATTAGGTGTGTATAACCTAGAACGAACTTAATTATTAGTGAGATGGATATAAAAAAAAGTAAAATATTTTTTGGACTTAATTTGAAAATTTGATTTAGAGACTTAATGATATATAACTATTGGATTGATTATAAACTTTATTTAACATTAGAATTTACNAGTGAATTTACTTTTCTAATTAGGTGTGTATAACCTAGAACGAACTTAATTATTAGTGAGATGGATATAAAAAGAAGTAAAATATTATTTGGACTTAATTTGAAAATTTAATTTAGGGACTTAATGATATATAACTATTGGATTGATTATAAACTTTATTTAACATTAGAATTTATAACTAATCCGATAATTATATTAAAATTATATTATTATATCTCTAAATTAGATATTCAAATAATAAAAAATTAAATAGAATGAAAGCCGCCCGGTGGAGGGGGAATCCACCTTTCAATATTCTCCNTATCTCTAAATTAGATATTCAAATAATAAAAAATTAAATAGAATGAAAGCCGCCCGGCGGAGGGGGAATCCACCTTTCAATATTCTCCTCGTATTCCATGTTCCTAAACGACTTAAGTCTTAACGAGAGAGAGAGAGTGAGAGTGTGTGTGTGTGCGCGCAAAAGTTTCACTTCCATGGAATCTCCCTTCAAGCCAGATATACTGAAAGGAAAGGTTGCATTGCTGACTGGTGGTGGATCAGGTATTGGATATGAGATAGCAGCACAGCTGGGGAAACATGGTGCCTCAGTTGCCATCATGGGCCGACGCAAGAACGTCCTCGACTCTGCTGTATCTGTTCTTCGTTTTCTGGGTATTCAGGTACGCAATCCTCAACCCTCTCCATCATTCGCCCTCGTTGGCTGCCAAGAAAATTAAATACAAAAATAAAAAACATTGATCGTCCTCTTTGAATCGCAACGGAGTTGGGCCAAAGGGCAGGACAGAAAAATTTTTAGGGAGTGAAGGTTTCAGAAACCACAGAAGCAGAAAAGTTTTTGAAAATCTGTTTCTCAATGGTAGTTACCGAAACTAAACACCTCAAAACATTAAAATTTTGGTATTCAATCACTGAAATGGAAATGTTCGGTCATTCAGATGCCAAAAATCGAAATTGTGATCCTGGCCCTATAACTATTTGGTTCTCCCAAATAATTTGTATACACATAGATATCATGAAGATTGACACCTCCAATTTGATGAATCTAATTGTTAAACCTTATTTTGAACAAAATGTAAAGGAGAGTTTAAAGCATGTACATCAGTTCTATTGATTCTTCATATGATAAATGAGAGAGAANCGCGCAAAAGTTTCACTTCCATGGAATCTCCCTTCAAGCCAGATATACTGAAAGGAAAGGTTGCATTGCTGACTGGTGGTGGATCAGGTATTGGATATGAGATAGCAGCACAGCTGGGGAAACATGGTGCCTCAGTTGCCATCATGGGCCGACGCAAGAACGTCCTCGACTCTGCTGTATCTGTTCTTCGTTTTCTGGGTATTCAGGTACGCAATCCTCAACCCTCTCCATCATTCGCCCTCGTTGGCTGCCAAGAAAATTAAATACAAAAATAAAAAACATTGATCGTCCTCTTTGAATCGCAACGGAGTTGGAGCAAAGGGCAGGACAGAAAAATTTTTAGGGAGTGAAGGTTTCAGAAACCACAGAAGCAGAAAAGTTTTTGAAAATCTGTTTCTCAATGGTAGTTACCGAAACTAAACACCTCAAAACATTAAAATTTTGGTATTCAATCACTGAAATGGAAATGTTCGGTCATTCAGATGCCAAAAATCGAAATTGTGATCCTGGCCCTATAACTATTTGGTTCTCCCAAATAATTTGTATACACATAGATATCATGAAGATTGACACCTCCAATTTGATGAATCTAATTGTTAAACCTTATTTTGAACAAAATGTAAAGGAGAGTTTAAAGCATGTACATCAGTTCTATTGATTCTTCATATGATAAATGAGAGAGAATGATCTAAAATTGAAGAATTAATTGCATTACCAACTGTAGAGGCTATAAAAGAAGGGTTCAATTCTTTGTTGTTTCATGTATTTAGTGTTCCACGATGCTAACTATTGACCTATGAGCAGTCAATTTGAGTTATTTTGGTGATTAACTCTAATTTTCACCGAAATCTTTTATGTCTTTCCCTAGAAATGCAGCCTTGCTGAGTATTCTCATCTGCACATCATGGATAATCGAATATTCTGTAAAAGATGATGTGGTTCTTCCTAGTCTTCAGCTGGATCATTTACATCAAAAGTGTAGTTGAATATTCTCCTCTGCACGCTATGAATGAATGAATAATTATGATGTAGGACAACTTTGTAAAATAAAAATAGGGACTACTTAGGGGTTGTGAACAGTATTCTTGAACAGGAATGGCTGTGAACGGTAGCTTAATAGTATTTTTGGTTAGGAATCACTCCTAGGGTTCCGTAGCCATCACACCTAGGATTAGAATTGTATCACACAACTCAAGAAACATGTAATTTCTCAAAATTTTGAATATCTCTCTTCATCTATTGTTAAAAGTAACACTAACTATATATAGAGTTCTAAGTAATCATAATTCCAAAAGATTAGGATTCTAAAGTCTCTAGAACTTCAAAAACACTAGGTGTTTATAAATTAGAAAATTAAAATTAAATAAAACTAAGACTTTAAATTTTAGAATATTCAATACTAGAATTTGACCCAAAAATATGACCCATTCCAGAAATTCTAGAAATTACAAAAATACCCCCAATACTAAAAAATATTAAAATGACATATAAAATATTAATACTAACAAATTAACTTAAAATAAGAATGTAAGGTTCCATATGAATCTTTGTCTTGATGGAAAGGCAATTTCATTAACTTTTACATCTTCGAATATGTGTTTCCTTAAGCATCTTATGGATTGCATCAAATTCATTCTATAAAACATCATGTCCCTGTTTTTCAGCTGGATTACTTACTTGAAGCAAATTCTTCAACTGGATTTGTAAAAAGTTTAGTTAGACCTCTGTTGTTTTTACTAATATCTCAAAGTTGATTACATGATCCAATTGCAGCTGAAGCAAGAGCTTCTTAATGTGCTTATTGCCTTTGTTGCTTAATAGAGTTCAGATTTAGAATTCTGACGGGGATGCACTGAGGGCAGTTACTTTTGTGCTTATTTGAAACTATAAAACATCTAATTGGTTGTGTTTTTTCTTTTGTTAATTGATCTTTGTTATGCAAGAGATTGCAAACACAGAACGAAGAAATTACATAATTCAGCTTCAAAGCCTAAGTGCTACAAAACAAAGGTTTATTCTCCAATAATAATTAAGAATGAAATGACCTTACTAGAATTGAATTTGATAATGTCTAATAAAGTCACACAAGCAATTAGATAATGTCTTTTCCTAGGAAAACTTGGAATTTGGGCCACTATCCAACAAATCTCCACCTCGGTAAAAATTGTGTATCACCATCTTAGCTTGTATTTCATCAAGCCAAGAAAAACAAAAGCATACAAGTATAGCTGCCTTCTCCACAGACCCTAGGGGTACAAGTTAAACACAATGAACACCAATTGAGTCCAAGGAAGGTGATGTGATGTTGTGTCGTAGACAAAAACGTCAACTTTTCTTGTTTGGTATTAGAGTTTTAAAGTAGTCTAGATATATTTTTTATTTACAGTTTTAGAGTAGAATTGTTTCAAAGAGTATGTTTGAAGGTCTTTTATCTTATTATAATGAGTTAGGGGGTATTTTTGGAGTTTTAGAACATATTTAAGGTTTCGTAGATGATATAAAAGAGCCTCAAAAATGACACACTCGTTGAAGCCTCTAAGATGTGATATTCAGGGTTTTTGGACAAAGCTTGGATGTCTTCTCGATATTTCTGCCTCCTCTCTCCCTTTTTCTTCTTCATCTTGCTCTAATTCTTCTTACCTCGAATGCTCTACTCTCTCTTTTGGCTATTTTCTTTTTATTCTCATCTTTCCCCCCCATTTCTTCATTCTTCTAGGATTTTTTCCACCTATTCTCCTTTCTGTAATTTTCTCCTATTGTATTGTATAAAACATAGAAGAAAACAACACTTATGGGCCAAAATTCGTGTCCCATAGTGATCAATCATGAGAGATCTATAGTATCACTTCTTATTTCTCATGTATTTATCAAATATATCAATTAGTGGATGAAATGAGCAGCTGAAGTGTTTGATAATTTATGGATTTTAACCTTTTATATGCATGCCATGTGTTCAATTTCAGGTAGGTTACATCACAATGCTTGAACTTGATCATTGGATCAGGCTTCAATGTTGGGCATAGTGACTCATCAAGAACTTTTGCCAAACGATACTGCTACAACAGTGCACACGCATCTTGATCCAACGGTGCAGACGCTGAAGTCGGTGATTACTCATGACATAGACAAGAAAACTTTTTTATATTAGCCTTGATTTCTTGGAGTGTTTAAGTTGAGTATCAAGTCTTCTATACTTTCCAATAGATAACTTTTAAACTCTTTAGTCGAGTTAAGAGATGCTAAAATTAATTCCTAAGAGAGAAAGTCTATCTGTCAAGCAATAATGTAGTATGAGGGAAAAAAAAAGGATAACATGGTGATGAAATGTCAAGCTATATTCAGATTTCCATCTGCATACATTCCTATATATAATTCACAATTCTGTGATATTACTTTTGCTGGTCTAATTTGTGGGCATTTTTAGTAGTTGTTCCCATTGTAATAGCTTAAAATATTTTTTTGGCAATCTTGCTTTACAAATTTTGTTAGGTAGTTATCCTGTGTGTGTCTGATTATTTAGAAGGTCAAATTAATTCCTTGTTTTCCAACTTCAGTATTGCACACTTCTTGTTTATTGCAGGCTATTGGGCTTGAAGGAGATGTTCGTAAACAAGATGATGCAGTCAGAGTTCTAGAAACAACAATTAAGCATTTTGGCAAGCTTGATATTCTCGTGAATGCTGCAGCTGGCAATTTCCTTGTTCCAGCAGAGAATTTGTCCCCTAACGGCTTTCGTACAGGTTGTATCCTCATGGTGTGGACCTAAATACAGTCCTTTTGCACACTACAACAAGGAGTTGGTGAAAACATATTTTAAACTTTGGTTATACTTGTTGACTGATCAGTTCCTATGTATAATGAATAGCATCTGCTGTACCATGTGAAAGACATCCTCATAACGTGTTTTTCAGGCCATAAGAGGCTTCGAGATATTAAGTAAACCTTTCTCTGTTTTGGTTGGTCTCTGCAGTGATGGATATAGATTCCGTTGGCACTTTTACTATGAGCCGTGAAGCACTTCAGTATCTTAGGAAAGGTGGCCTTGGGAAGGACCCATCTAGTGGTGGAATTATTATAAACATAAGTGCAACTTTGCATTATACAGCAACTTGGTATCAAGTACATGTTTCTGCTGCCAAGGTTCGTCGAAGTGATGTGCTAATTTTGTGGAAAACTTCTATTTCTGACTAGTGTTTAATCGACACATTTTCCCTTTTGGTCCAGGCCGCTGTTGATAGCCTAACAAGGAGCTTGGCTTTGGAGTGGGGAACAGATTACGATATCAGAGTCAACGGGATTGCACCAGGGCCTATTGAAGACACCACTGGTTATAGCAAACTTGCACCGGAGGAGGCAAGAAGCAAATCAAGAGAAAATGATCCTCTATATAAAGTGGGAGAAAAATGGGACATTGCTATGGCTGCTCTCTACCTGGCATCAGATGCTGGTCGGTAATCATAGTTACTCATCCTCCTGCAAGTTCATATCCATATATAATCACTCCATAGACGTTTGGTTGCTTCATTGTTTCAATATCTCTATGCTTTTCAGAAGTCCCTATAATATGTTATGTTTCTTTTATTAACAAAATTCTTAGAGCTTAAAGCAAAAAAATTGTAGTATATTGTGCCATAATAAAATTGTTAGAAAATTGCTTATTGTAATTGGCTAATTCCAGGAGGTCACAATGTAAATCTCAACTAGATACATGATCGTGAATCTACAAAGATGAAGATCCAAAGCTAGAAGAAGGAAGAAGTCTAAGCTACAAAACCACATCATGAAGACTTCCCACGATCTTTCGACAATTAGGAAAGATAAAGACCTTGAGTTATCCTTGGTATTTTTACTTTGGTTGCTTAGGTTTTAATAAATTGGATTTAAGATGAATCCGTACATGATTCATAGGATTTTTATTGAAAATATTTTTGAAACTCCAAATGTTGTTTTAAAAACATAGATCGAATCATGGATCAGATCCTTGTTGAGCAACACTCCTTAGAACCTAAAACTTGGTTTTAGGTTTAAAAACCAGAATGGACCACCCTCTGTTCACTAACCAAAGACTTGAGTAGTCTTCGAACACTTGGGAAAAATTCAGCAGAAGGCTATGTAGTTGGCAGTGGAGATGACTTACTGGCTGCCTGAGCGGCCTACTAATGGCTCGAATGGCCTGAGAATGATTCAAGCGGTCACTTGCGAATTTGAGTTTTCTTGGGCATCAAGTTGACTTTATTTACGGCCCATATATATATATATATAAACATGCCTTTTTAGACTAGGGTTACTCTCCATAAACCTCTAAAAGCCTCTTATATCATTTAGGGAGTCAAGAACAAACCCTAGCAATTCCTAAGCATCCAAGGTCAAGCTACATTGATTAATCTTATACTTTAACTTCAAATCAAGAAGAAGAGAGAGATCTTGCAGAAACCCATCAAACCCACTTCGGTTTATGAAGCATTTGATCGAGTAGAACTTTGGGGGAGTCCTTTAAAAGAGAAATCGGATTGTAGAGCTCGATTAGCCGTTTGAAGATAGTACTTAAGACTAGAGGTGGCAATTGAGCGGAATGGACCAGTTTTGAGTGAGAGGTAAGGTATGTTTTCCTACTCTATTCATCTCTTTTATTATTCTCTCTCTCCATTCTCTAAATTTAACATAGTATCAGGGCAAATTGGTCCAAATTCTGATTTGAAATTCCCCCAAAACCTTCATCTTTTTTTTTTCCAGGATTTTTTTCCTTTTTCTTTTCTTGTCTCCTTTGTTCTCTTTGTTCTCCTTTCCTTTCCTCTATTCCCATTTACTATGCCACCCACATTGGTTATGAGTGGTTAGATATCGAAGATGCTTTGGTGATGGGCCTTGATATCTATATGCTTAGAGATGCTTGAAGTTGAGTGTTGATGATTGCTTCAGTTTTGTGGATATTTCTTGGTCGCCGGAGGTTTTGTTGATTTGAGGGCTGGTTGTTGCTGGTGGTTTGGTTTTCTCTGTTGGCATGCCAAAGTAATCTCTTCAACATGCTTCATCTGTGGGCTAGGACTTCCAAGGTGGTTGTAGTTGTGATTATAATCGATGGTCTGTCTGTCTGTCTGGTGGTGTTGTTGCCGGAGTCAGCTCATCGTCAAGCGTTGTTTAAAGGCTAGGGTTTTTGGTTCGTCGATGTGAGGAAGAAGAGGCTTCATGTTATAACATATACCTGGTTACATCTGGATCCATCTGGTTATATAATACCTGGGTCAGGAGCTGAATCCAACTATTAAAGCCTATTTGTGTTTGGGCTAAAACATACAAGGCTAGAACTCAATCTTCCAGCCTAAGCCCATTTGGTTCGGATCCAGTCCATGTGTTTCGGCCCAGACCCAGTATTTTGGTCTAGCTTAAGCCCATTCATTTGGATCCAGTCCAGGTGAGCCCATCTTCCCCACTAGGACTGCCAGTTCAGCTTATTCAGCCCGGTTCAGTTCCAAATCAGGTCGATTAAGGGGATTTTACAACCGGTTCACACCAGTTCCGTGGGTTTCCAGCCTGTTTCGAGGCCTTTTAATTTCAGGTTCAGGTGATTTTGCAACCGGTTCTCAGTGGTTGAGTAGGTTTGCAGTCTGTTCTGTGTGTTCCAACTGGTTCAGAGGCCCTTTTGCACCCGGTTCAGAGGCCCTTTTTCACCCGGTTCAGCTTCTGGTGAGACTGGTCCAGCCCTCTATTCAACAAATCTGTGTTGATTTAAGCTCGTAGTCTGGTTCTCTATACTTCTAGCCTCATGTTTTCTTATTTTCGACTAATTCTACACTATTCAGGTGACGATTTTGCATTATTTGGTCTACTTCTCTTGGGTTGGTTTCACAATATGTAGTATTAATATGGAACCCAAGACTAATACTCCATCTCTTGCCCCAACCTTGTCACCCACACTTTACCCAACTTTTCTTTTTAATGCTCCCATTACTTTAGTCGAGCTCAAACCGAGAAACCTATTGATTCCTCATTTCAAGATCTATTCGTTTAATACAAACCGAGAAACTTCAAATTTATAGTGAAAATTAAGGGTTACCTCTTGAACTGTGCTTTGAACGATCTTCAAGCTTTCTCAAACAACTTTGAATCTTCAAATCTGAATTTGATCTTTACCTCAAGCCTTGCAATTGTTTGGCCTCTATCGATATTTACATGAATTAATAAACTTGGAGGATCTACTTCAACTTTTGATAAACTAGTAGAAAGAGAGAATGAGGGGTGAGTCTTCTTGTGCTAGTAATAGAGTTGTTATATCATATATCCACCTCCTACATGAAAGTATTTATAGTGCCTTGAAAGTCTCTAATCCTAAGCTGGGTCTAGTTGTAATTATCTCATAATTACATATAATCTTTTTATTAATCAATAATTATAATAAAGTTCTCAATTAACTCTTAATTAGGTTTTCATCCCAATTAACTCTTAATTGGTTTTCTCTCCTTTATCCTTTAGTTTTCAATCAATTCTATTGTGTGTGATCCTATAGGTTTAAGTATACTCGGTTGTAGGCATTCGATACTAACTATAAGTAGTATCTCAAATTAGAACTTTTTTTTTTTATATTAATTTCATTCTTCGGGCTTATACTAATCATGAGTGACACCTAACAACATATCATAATCAACCTCCAGATAGTTCAAAGTAGGTAAAGAGCCCATTCAGTATACATATGTCATAAAATTCAATCCTTCTATTACACAATGTCCCAATTGAATTAGGGTATGAAATTACTGTCAAGCCTTTAATTTAATCTTATGGGTTTGATCTTAGGACTATTACTCCTAATAATCAATTTAAAACATTTTTTTTTTCAAATTGTCATTCTGTATTGGCCAATGACTCATTGAGTTATATCCTAGAAGATCACATAGAACATTTTCCTTTTATTTACTAAGGGTAATAAATTACATGTTTTACATTCATAAGTTTTTATGCATGTTTAATTATGTCCAACAATACATATTCAAGTTAAATGGTTAGTATATGAATATGTAGTTAAAGCATAGAAGTTTATGCACAAGACAACTTGGTATCTCAAGTCTAAGAATCAGTTGCATAATTATAAATTTTGGATTTAACATTGACAAGTATATAAAATTCCATATGAAAAATCTTACGTTAGTCAATTGTCACTTTCAGTTTACTTGTTCTTTAACAAATACCCACACACGTTCTTCAGTGTCCCTACACTAGTGACTTGGATGAGTCATCTTATATCAAATATGAGTAAATATAGTGTATGCTAGTTTATCCAAATTACATAGTACCCACATTGTAATCCTATGACTAAGAACATTTAAGAATTAAGTAATAAGAAATATATGTCTCCTCCTCTCAACTACTTGAGAAATCATTTTCTTAATTTATATTCTATGGACTTTATCATACATGTCAAAATGAAATTAGTCAATAACACGATAATTAACTTACTCTTTTTATTTAATTAAGTAATGAATGTTGCTAGTACAACTCCAAAACATCATTTATATGATTGGTTTTAGAGCATACTACTAACAAGTTGTGCCTAGATAAGATATTTATTGGTCTACGAAGAGCCTCATCTCACCTGGTAATCAAAAATCTACTCACAATGTTCCCCATACCTTGTACGGTTTTTGAAATTTTTGGAAGTAACATAACATTGATTTATATTTTATTTTATGCTTCTAGGGAAATACATCAATGGAACAACATTAGTTGTGGATGGAGGACTATGGTTGAGCAAACCTCGCCAACTATCAAAGGAGGCTGTGAAGCAACTTTCTCGAGCAGTAGAGAAGAGGTCTAGAGACGCACCAATTGGGGTTCCAAGCAGCAAACTATGACAAATTCATTCAATGACGAATAATAAATCAAGTTGGGCAGCATGCAATTCGGCTACATTTTGGATTATCATAGCATAATTAGAAGGCGAATCCAACCGAACTTTGTGAATAACATACTGCCAAGAATTTGATTGCTTTGTACTTTACAGTTGCCTATACATTTGACTTGTTCAGTGCAACTTTCCTGGAACCTCAGAATGATAGATATTACCAACAACCCCCTTGGCAAGTCAAGGTCATATACAGATTCTCTGTGAAAAGGAAAAAAATTCCTTGTTTAAGAATTTTGTTGGAACAGTTTGGCTCTTAATTCCGTGTGCTTCAATTTAATTTGCTTATGACTTCATTATAGTGATGATTAGGCTGTTATGTCTATTTGTCAAGAGGACTTTGGGTCTGGTTCATTAAGCTACAGGTTACCCTTACTCTTTCTGTAACACATTCCCTAAAAAGGTGGAGACAGAGTGAATTCAATTGTAGTTAGTCCAACAGTTTGTAAAAGGTAAAAGTACACGGTAAATATGACTATTTTGATTTTATTCGAAGGCCTTACCCACACGGGTGGCCCAAATGTGAAGTCATATTTGGTATAAGTTGTAAACTTGGACATTTGGCTCAATTTTCATTGATGTATCTAAAGTTAACCTAATACGCATGATTATATCTCATATTTACTCTACATAGATTAATCCAATATAACCATATCCTAAAAAGAGTTTTTTGCTATTTAAAAAAAAATTACATGGATTAAGAGTTGGGCAGAACGTTAATACTGGCTCCAATGATTATCGAGAGAATAATCTATATCTATTCTATACAGCTTTAAAATGTCGACAAAATTGAATTTTTTTTATTGACTATTATGTCTTTATTAAAAACACAAATAATTCCTATATTTTTATGCATTTAATTATTCGATATTAATTAAATATGAAATGACTTTTCTTATACTGCCATTTATTGTTCCATGATTTGTACATGTGCTTATGTGACAAGTTAACGATTGTCTATTTCTCCCATTTGTGTAACCATTTCATTTGCTATTTAATTATTATTATTCATCATTCTATTCTTATATCTATCTCTGTACTACTAATAAAAGATATCTAAAAAGGAAAGATTCTTATTTTTCTAATATATCCTTGATTTATCCTATGAAGGCAGTGTTATCCTTTCTTCAATAGTAACTATAATTACTTAAGTTTTAGGCCTTAAAAATTCAAATAATATATATATATATATATATATATATATATATATATATATATATCAAAATGCCATGCATCTAAACAAGTATAACATAATTGTTGTTCATTATACAATTCATTTATTTGTTGAGTGACCTTTCATGCCTCTCTTTTCTTCTCACCACCCAATTACATTTTCAATAAATTTCCGATTGATGTACTGATAAAAAAACGAAAGAGTTAATTATTAACCATAATTTCTTGCATTTTAGCACTCCAATAACTAAAGCCCCCATATTTGGGGTCGTTCATGCATTTCTTCCTCACCATCCAATTTTTCTCTGCCTTTACACGAACAAATATTGTATATAGACAAACAACTTGAAATAATCAGAATAGTTATGTTTTAACTATCCACTCTATGGTTTCCTGTGCTTTTTTTTATCTTTTTCACAACTTTCTATGGATATATTATTTGTCGCTAACCAAAAAACTCTTATTTACCCCTAAATAATTTTATAAAGTCCATTTTGTAATATTTGTAATTATTATCATGATAAACGTATTACCTATATCTATATCCTTGGTTAAATTTCACCTTTACATAATACTTTGAAGCCACTTAAATCCTTCATCCAAAAGCAACTATAAACTAATTTTTATTTTTGTCTTTCATGCTATAAATAAATTTTATCATTATCCAATAACTACTTTTAGACAATACAAATTCTTGATTAAAATTTCACACTTAAATTCTAGTATAAATTTTTACCCTAAATTTTCGCTTATGCATTTAGATGGTTCACATTTTTTGTCAGTCAATTATCTTCATTCAAAGTTAAAAAAAAAAAAAATGATCTTCTTTCATTTATTACTTTGCTTTTATACCCACTACTTTTATACCGTACAGATTCTAGGAGTAAATATTCAATAAGTCCATAGTTAGAATCAATTATCCAATGAATGTATTAGTTACTTGGAAACTAAATAATTTCAGCTACTCTATAGATCTAATAGTTTTTTATTTGTATTTCAATTTTTGGACTTGAAATTGGTAATATTTTTCTAGGCTCTATTCTTTGTCTCAAGAACTCGAACATTATATTGTCAAATATGAGAATTGGTTGATGATGATATAGTATATGGTTGATTTGTTGGGATCTTACTTTTTTTTTGTTACAAGTTCGATTAACGTTATATGAATGGTGATTGATTTGTTGAGTTTTATATTATTTTTTTACCTAATAAAAGGTGTAGGGAGAAGTGATCATCGACATTAACAAATAATATTGCATATGTAAATTATTCACGTGCAAAGCATGTGTACACCAACTAGTGTATATAAACATCAAAACTATCCCAAGTACCCTAGACGATCTTTTTTCATTTTCTCATTTTTCTATCTTTAATCCTATTCTAATTTCCAATTTTCATGCTTGTCAAAGCCCGAATATGCAATAAACAGAAACGTAAAAGCAACACTACAATTGTCATTTGGATAAGCAATCATATTTTTTTCTTGATTTTAATCCCAAGAACATGATGTGATCAGTATACTCGCTGGGCAAGCTGGTGTGAAGGTTGTGAAGTGTTCATGTGTTAATTCTGATGCTCACTAATTGATCACGTGTTCACTTAAATGATACATTAAGATTTCATTTGAAGCTTTCATTAATGATTTAAAATATATAGAATCCTAATGACGTTGGAATTTGTTTTCACACACGTCATACTTGAATTTGTCAAAGTTGAACACAATTTGAACAAGTGTAAGTGGAATTGAACAAAAATGAGGGGACATTACTTTAGAATGCATGAAAATGAGTTCTCTATTCTTGAATATGCCTTAGGGTAATGTTATGAGATGATGAAATTTGGATGGATCCGTCATAATGTGAACATATGTGATTTTCATGATTAATGACATTGTGCATTTTAATGTTTAAATTGAAAATTGCATTACATTTAAATCCAATTACTTCCATGCATGCATTTTGAGGCTCAAGAGAGGGATTGGAGGTGGAAAAGTAGGTTGGATATAGTTGAGGAGAATTCGGATGCTTCATGGACCGCTCAAGGAACCCTCGACACCGCTCGAGCGATTTGTATCGATTCTCGGTCCAACAGGTTTTAAAGGTGAGATTTTTTATGATTCCATTTCATTTCCTTCACTTCTAACACGAGCCCAACCCTTGAGCTATAACAAATTATTGAGTGAGTAATAATGCATTTCATTCTTGGATCTATGATTATCATTCGTATTAGCACTATTTCAACAATTAGTTTGGGAAAAATGTCACCAAGAGTCAAAAAAGGGGCAAGGGTACGTGCATACAATGAGAGAAGCTGCTTCCAGACCCTACAATATTGTGAGTTGTTTAGGAGACAGTTCGTTTCTAGGCCTATGTTGGTTGAGCAATGCTTGAATTTCACTAAGATAAGTAACACTACTATCCCTTTGAATTTTAAGTTACAAGGGTGGATTGAGATATTTGTGGCTCCTATGCCAGCAATACACACATTTGGAACGCCACCGAGCACTTTCAAGCATATGTTTGAGGTGTATTGTTTGAGTTCTTCACTGACTTGATTTACATCACCCTACACCTACCCTAGGTAGCACGTGATCCATATCATCATAGACCCAAGACTGATATACCCAAACTCCACGATGTTGCATTCGTGTTGTATGGCACTCCTTACCCTATTGGATGAAACCCAAAAAAAAGGGACCACAAGGACTTAGATAGGGAGTATCGAATGACTAATTTGATAATCAATTACAACATAGACCTGAAGACTCATGTGTCCACATTACTTACACCATGAGCTTACCTTTTACATGCTATTGGGGATTGGTGCAGAGATTGATTTGCCACGGGTCATATTTTGAGCCATTCGGAGAGCCTTTCATAAGGGTAGGATTAGTGACAGTTTGCCTTTTGGATCTCTTATCTCCCAATTTGTCTAGATAAGGTGTGAGTGCTTTAGAGACCGATTACATATTGAGACCAAAGAGACCTCTTGGGAAGGAGTCACTGAAACAGAGTGATACTCATGCTACTTATACATTTGACCCTATAGAGGTAAAGGTAGACGACAATGAGATGGAGGCTAAAATACATGCTACTACTCCTGACCCTGGACCATCGAGATATACAACACCAATGAGACACATTATCTAGCACCTCACGTGCACCACCACCTAGGACTCATCAGGAACCTTCACTTGACCATTGAACTACTATCATGAATGCATTAGGTGAGGTTTAGACCAACATTGGTTATGTTCAGTCTAGTGTAGACATGCAACACAGTCTCATTGCATTTCAGCTAAATTATCTTAAGGGGAGATAGATGGATCTTTCAAGAGATCAGAGAGGCAAGCCTTAAATGATCTAGAGAAAGCATGGTGAGAGTACATTTCAAATAAAAAAGAAAATTCGGTTTTACTATTTATTGCCTAACATTCCATTCATGAGATTATGCCAAGGTCATTTCAATTGTTAAGCATGCACGTCATTTCTCGATTATATGTGAATGTTTCTCAATTTGTGCACAAGATTCTATCTCACATATACACATAGAGAACATACTAGGATAATCATAGAGTTATTTATTTTTTTAGGGAAACCCTTGGTTTTGCATCAAAGCTGAATTTGGATAGTCAAGTGGATGTGGATTCTGTTGAGTAAATGTTTAAATTACATATTTATTTCACACACACAAGTTTTGAAAGGAAATGTGTAGGTGGATACTCTAGAATAGCATTTAAGGCTATGATGTGATTCATGTGTGATTAGTTCGGGTTCATTGGACAAAGTTGTTTTTGACACCCCGGGGCTAGTTAGGATAAGGGTATATGTTTCAAATGTTGGATATGAGGAAAAGAAGTTTGTAGGTACCTTCACTGAAAACTTTCACGAGACAAAACTCGTCTACTAGGGATCATCTAAGGGTTTAAAGACTTGTTGCATGTGTTAAATGCAGTAGCAAAATTAATATAGGTTTATTTTTGTTTGCCTAATTTTTATGTTTAGTTTGCTAGGGACTAGTAAAACTTAAATTGGGGGGTGTGATGAGCGTGTAATATTACATATCTAACGGCCTCATTACATGCATTTTGAC